TGATTTAAGAAGGTATTTGATTTTCAAATTTGTAAGCCAGTTTTTAATTGTATTTCAAATTGCCATTGGTTTCATTTGATTTCTACTTAATAAAAATTGATTTAATTCTCTTTTTTAATTAGTTTGGCAATGAAAATTGTCTGATTATAAAAGATTTCGTTTAATTAGAGAAGTCAGGTTGTGTTTAGTTTTGAGGGTGAGTGTATAGGAAATAGGGAAGGGTGCAAAGGGGATAATACGAGTTGGATCGAGTGTTCTATCCGCTTTAACAACGAGTTTCGGAGCCGGAGCCTCCTCCTACTCCCACTACTCCTTTTTATACCTTCCACACACCGAATACAGTGAACCTTAAAACTTCTCACTGTGTCAAACAATTCAGAAATCATTTCGTAGTCCAACTGTCGTTTCACTCGATATTAATTGGGATGCAAATGAAAACCCTTTGGATTAATTGTAATGTAAATTCAATCGCCTAAAAATAAATTTCAATTGACAGATTTATACTGTAAACATTTTTCATCCGGAAATCAGTTTTCTTCGACATCTGCAATGTTTACAAATTTTTTTTTAATATAAATAACAGATGGATGGATCTGGAAATATTTGTGAGTATACTATTAGTGTAGTACTTGATTTCTGATTTTTCCCATCAATTTGGAACCGGAGGAACCCATATACATATGTTGACAATGTCAACTTCAGGTCTGACAAAATGTCGAAATTTGCAATTTTCATGAATTTTTTTTTAATATAAATAATCGATGGAAAAATTTGAAAAAATTTACACATGTTTCACTCTTGTAGAAGTACGTTTCATAATTTTGTCATCAAAGTCCGTATGCTAGACACGGAGGAAAAAATGGCAAAAATGTCGAAAATTTGTATCTTAAAGGCTTCCCTCAAAGGCAAAATTTGAAAGTTTACAAATCACATTAAAAAAATTCTCACATGTCTTATTCTTAGAGTAATGATATTCTCAAAATTTTCAGAATTTTTCTATACGCTAGATTCCGAGAACAAAAAATTGAAAATTGCATGCCAAGGGACTCCAGATTTGGCAATCTCCAAAATTGCGATTTTCACGAATTTTTTTTTACTGTAAGTAATAGATGGAGAATTTAGAAAAATTCACGCACGTCCCACTCGTGTAGATGTGTGTCTTCATTAGCATTCATCAAATTCATCCACACGCTAATGCCGGAGAAATAGATCGCGAAAATGTCGATAATTCGTATACGAAGGTCACGCAAATTTAATGAAAATCTGATAGTTCGCAAATCTTATTGAAAAATTCTCACACGGTCTACTCTTATAATAATGAATTTCTGAAAATTTTGACAATTATCTAAAAATTAGATTTGGAGAACAAATAAATTGGATCCTCTCGATCAAAGGAGAATTATACGATTCTTAATTCGCTTTAAACTGTGTTAATGTTTCTGTTCTGTGAATCAGAGTAGCGTTTGGCCTTCTGTTTAGTCTAGAGTCTGCGTGCACCACGTGGCTTCCCTTTCAACGCCTCTAGACAGAGAAGTTAGCAATCGTCGAAACTACTGCTACCAAAACGTTAACAGCGATTACAGTTTCATTTTCAGCCCCCTTTTCAATGGGGGTTGGGATTAAATCCCCTGGTAAATTAATCGATCGTTGGAGTAATGTTTCTACGTCAGTTCTGAAATTGATTTCAGATCCCGAAGAATCGTTCGCCAACGTCCAACGCGAATCTTCCTAATCTTAACTCCCTAATCTACATACTGTAACATTCAGGTAAAATTCGTCAAGAATCACAATTTCTCTAAGCTTGGAAATTACACTAATTATTTCTAGACGAAGTAGTCGTTTCATTTCTTTTTAATTTCAATGCAATTTTATGTTACTGCTTCGAATCCCAAGTTGCAATTACAATTTTTCTAACTAGTATTTAATATTGTTAGAAATAGTAGCATCGCATCTATTTTTAATGCATCTATTTGTACATATTTTGCTTGAGTATTTACCTGTGGTATTTGTCTTAGAATAGATATTTGTTGTTAGAATTTGAAATAAAGATCGTGGCAACAATCTCTGATTGTATAATTGCATATCTCGGTAGGATCAGCCGCTCCCATTTCCCTTTTCCACGCCTACCACACGTCCAGTGAAAGTATCCACGAAGAAAAACTGGCCAGCAGATCCTTGATCCTTGATCCTTGATCAACTGTCGAGAATTTCCACTTTCAATAATTCTTCCATTCTTCGTCGATACATTTTTCTGGTTCACTATTAATTTACTCCGTCAATTTTTACATTCTATCAACGAAAATAATTGGGAGACCTTACTGATACGCGTATAAATAGTTCCTAAAATATTCGTTACGATATCTATGAGGATTATTTGCCAGAAAAAATATCTGAATCCCTCTCAGGATGTATAGGCTATATATTTAAACGATGCTAGCATGTTGAATTTGTTATTATAAATTCCTAT